GCTGGCCAGGAGGCTGGTCCATGGTTGGGGAGAGCCAGGAGCAAGGGAGCGAGATATAACCTCCCCTGGTCCGGCGAATTCCCTCATTCAGGACCAGTCAGGTCCTGAGGGTGCTGGGACCAGGGAGATCCAATCTGCACTGAGTTCAACCGGACTATTCACATGCACAAAGTTATGCAAATGCTTAAGTGTTGTTTGAAGGATTTGGGGTGAGAATGAAAAAAGCAAACATTAATTTCCTAATTCACTCATGGCTTAATTTATAAATTATAGCAAGTCACGACCAAAAGAAAATAAAAATTAATAAGTTGACTTTAATATTAGTTTTAATTTTGGGGTATTTTCTGTTTTAACTCATATTAACGTAAATCTAGTCCTGGGAAAGTTAACATTTTCTGTCTCTAATTATTGGCAAAGGATTCTTTTCCAATGTGTCAGAAAGAATTTGTTCAATTTTGAGGAACTGTGGTGAGATTGTGGTTACATTTTAAATTCCAGTGGATTCACAGACAGGAAAAGGTTATTATTATGTAACGAGAAAGGTAGACTATTAAGATCAATAGAGCCTAACATTTTAATAAAAATCAGTCTTTATTTTGTTCCTTTTATTGTGGAGATGTACAGCGGTCCAAATCAAATAGATGATTCATTATAATAGGAATCTATGAGAGAATTAGTACCATAGAGCAATCTTTTCATGGCTTGACTTGCCCTCTACAAACGGGATGTGGCTGTTTAAAAAATACCTCCATAGTTGTAGACAAAAAATACAGGTCAAGAAATAAGGATAAATGGTTCCAATTTACCAAGTGTGAACTGACTGAGAGAATAATATACATTCACTTTCCAGCTCCCCCTAATGACACAGTTAGGAAGCATATATCCCACTGTAACTTTTTGTAACAAAATACTCAGTTCAATATTGTTTTAAACAGTTTTCTATGATCTGAATAAACAGTGTGTGTGTTGAATTTCATTATAACTGTAAGAGTAAAATGAGTAAATCTGATGTCTATTCAGTGGTCTGTTCAAAACAACTTAATGGTCTAAGTTCAGTTCCTGGAATACAGAAGGAAACATCACAACAGCAACTGCATCAGCATTCCTCTCCACGCCCAGTGGTTCAGCAAGGGTACCCACACTTGGCTTTCAGCCATTACCTTTCTTTGGTGAAGAGACATTTCTCTTCCTCCTGACCAGAGTACAGGTTTCACCTCTCTAAACTGGGACTCGCTGGTTGGGCAGGACCACAGATGTTCCAGGATCAGAGAGTCCTGGTGGAGGGCTGGCACTTGGGAGACCTGAGGGCCAGCAGGGCAGTGGGCTGCCCGGCAGCAGCCTGTTGGGACCTGGCATGCAGCAGGTGGATTTCCTACTGATCCAGTGGCAAACCACTTAGGGCACTGGGCTAGGATGCAGTGGAGTTAGGTGAGCCTAGGTCCCCACCACCACCTCCTGAAGCACAGGTCTCCTGGCTTATTGGGCAGGCCTGCTGGAACTTCGCTTGGCTCTCACCCCTGCCAGAGCCCCACAGAAAAATGCTTGGTGCTCGCCCCTGACAGAGCCCTATGACCTGTGGTGTCCAACTAGTTCTGCGATAGCGAACTAGTCACACTCAACCAGCCAAACAGCCACATGTGGCTAGTGGCTATTGTGTTGGACACCACGGCCTTAGATTGAGTGAATAAACTGCTACAGCTCTGCCTGACTTCAGGCCAGATCTTTCACTGTTCGTGGTCACACTTTGCCGGAAGGCCAAGACACACTGAGAACCTCAAACTGACCCTTTGGTTTTTTTTCCTTTGGCAGGCCAAACTGCAAGGTGACGGGGCCCCCTCAGATGCAGAGCAGTGGTTATGCCAGCCTACCCTGCTGCTGTGCTTAGTAACATCCTCACCAAGTGATCTATAAGGACTTCAAGTCTTTTCCTCAGAGGGTCTTGAAAGTTCAGAACTAATAAGCATATATTAAACACCTTTTTTTGCCAATATAAGTAACAGCCAGAATCTCCAAATTAAAGTTAGACACCTAAATAAGAGGTCTCATTTTCAGAGGTCTCATTTTCAAACTGCAGCTGCTCACCACCTCTGAAAACCAGAAGACTTATTTAGGTGTCTAATTTTAGAGGTACTTCCATTTGAAAGTACTGGCCAATGTTTTATTTGCTTCTATTTGACGCTCCGGTATATTTACATACAACCAGAATTTCATAAAAGCCTCCACAGATTTGGTAACTAAAATAACATAGTGCCATCAGCAGGATGGCTGCTCACTTCCGTGTCAGAAATCATCTACTATGTATTTTAGAGTTAGACTATTTGATCGAGCACTCCTAAATAGTAAGAGCTAGGACCACCAAATTCAGTACACAGCTTTCTCTTATCATAACTTAAAACCATGTAAACACTTGGCTGTGCCAGAAAAATGGGATGTGCTTGGAATGGGACTGCTTCTCACAAAAATCAAACAGTAAAAAGACAGAATCACCAAAGCAAGTACAGTCTTCAAAACTGACATAACTAAGCGAATGTTGAAAGAAGCTGAACCAGAAAAGCCAGAAAAACAGGATGTACCTGGAATAGGATTGCTTCTCAATAAACCTTACAGAAAAGAGACAAAAAGGTCAAGATTCAGAGTAGTGGCATTACCGGGCAATGTTGAGTTAATATATAAAACAAGAAACTCAAAATTGAGCACATAAGCTCAATGAACAAACCAATTAGTCAGAGGCCAAATATGGGGAAAATTCAACTTTTCCCCCCCACTCAATTTTGGTCTTTTGAAAGTTGAAGAACACAACGTGTTTTCTATTTTTTAACCTGTCAACTAGGTTTTGCATTTGGCCTCCTTCCCTCACAGAGAGTGTCCACTCCACTGTTCTGCTGGCTAGGCCACAGAGCCCAAGAAATATGTTTGTGTTACACTGATTCCAAAAACAAAATGTACTCCAAGATTTAAGAAAAATCAGAGTAAGCCCTTTAAGTAGCTTTTACTCTATAACAAGACTTCATCAAAAACATTTTTGAAAATCCACAATAACCATATTCATTAAATGACCTTCATCAACCATTAACACTTTCAAAGATATTTCACTAAGTCAAAGAGGTCCAAATCTTCTTCCCTTTAAGAAGCAATGTGGATTTGAAACTATTACTCCATCATTAGACTCCATTTCCTAGATCCAGAAGCGTGGCATTCACTGGTCAAGATGAATCAAATGTGAACAAATGGAGTGCATTCTGACCATGCAGAAAGATAACTGCTAAGTGAAAACTGAGCGGAACAGAGTCAGTTTTCACAGCCACTATTCAAAATCCTCTGAACAGTCACAAAATAATACAGAACTATCCCAGTTTCCTCATCACTGCTTGGAAAATCTATGAAAAGGAACATCAGGAGTAAACACTGGAGCTGTTCACTGGAAAGAACCACCCAAAAATGTAAGTCTTGGAAGGGTGAAAGAAGTAGACACCCACTTTCATAGAAGAGAAGAGCCTAGCCAAAAAAAAAAAAAAAAAAAAGGAGCAGTGATCTTCCTTTGTAACACCAAAGCACTGTAATTCTGGAGTAAAAGGGGGTGGGTCACTCCTACTATTTATATTAGCATACTTCATTCACTTAATACACCACTAGTACAAGTTCTACCACTGGCAGCTGGCAGCAGTGGTGTATTCTATAGAATAGATGAAACACACTTTCACCATGTGTGGTCTAAACCTAGTTTAAAGGATGAATTATGATGGAAGAGTCTGCTTGTGTAGAAAAGACTCTGGTGTCTATATTTTTGGTCATCCAAACACACAAATAATTCCACAGAATGCATCTGCTGAAGCTTACAGTTTTGCCAAACATCAGCACTATGAAATTAATATGATTCTTGTCAGTTTCAACATGCTCAGAAGATACTGAACAGCAGAGAAACAATGTTAGAGCTAGGACTAGATTCAGGTCTCTTGACTTCCACTCTGGGTCCCTATCCACTGAACTGCACCTGGGTAGAGTGGATTTTTCACATTTTTGCACAGAGAGTTAACAATGAGATAATGAACCTACAGCTTCAAGAATCTAAGTTCAAATACAGCCAAGGCTTGGTGAAATGCTTCTAGAGGTCTGTCTTGGTAGTATACACATAAGACATTACAACAGCCACAATTTGTGTCATTCCTGATTGTCTCAGCAGAAAAGCTAAGAACAGAGTGGCCATGACAAGAGAACTGTCCTCTCACCAAAGATGGTGCCTGTAGGTTTCTGCCTGTGATGTGAATAAATAGAAAACAGCCCCCTCATCTGCCCCTAGTGACAACGCCACTTGTGAGCACAGCACTAGGTTAATAGAAGAGAGTGATTGTGGGGAGTGCTGTGCAACTCCTCCCCCACTGCAGGACTAGGACTCAGGCTCTTTTTCCTTCCTCCCAGGGCCTACCACGTACTCCTTGACACATGCTGGCAACCCGGTTTTGGGTGCCGACCCACAAGATGAGAAAAACTGGGATATGCCCTAAATCTTAACACTGTTGCCCAGATTATATAAAATGTCTTTAAACCTTCTAGTAACATTCATTTGAAAACAATGAGACTTAAACACCTGACACATTGCAGGTGAACCTGAGTTCATCATTTTTGTCTAAGAAAATACATTTAAAAAATGAATCTATGACAAAGTAAAACAAAGAAATGATAAAACAACAATCAGTAATAGTATTTCTCTAGAACAGCACCACAGAAGGAAAGGGACCAAAGAATGAGGATATTTTACTTAAATGAACTAGTAGCATAGTGGATCAAGCTAGACAAACTCTCTTAAATTTTTCAGGAAATAATTCAGTATACAAAAGGAACTGACAAGGGACACCATGATTTAGGTAAGGGCTAACTCTCACTAAAACTAATGTTTCTATAATAAATCCACTAGTCAAAATCTGCCAGGAGGAAAAACCAATGACTTACTATCACAGTAACACAAGGCAACTCATTTACAGAACTTCAAACAAGTTACTTACTGCTTTGACTCATGGTGACAAACCTCCAGTGTTGGATCATTATAAATAAAAGCTGCTTCCAGATCATTGACTCTGACTCTGTATATCCTGCATTGTTTACTGCTCAGTTTGATTCTATTCAGGTTTGCAACCGTAGGATATATTGTCAGTTCCACATAGCCCTATAAATATGTAAACCAATACCATCATTTAATTATGCAATCATATTCAAAAACATAAAAATATTCCTTTCTATATATTCAGTCTATTCATATTTTTAAAAGGGACACAAGTCAAACAATACATCCAAATAATTTTTTGTTCTAAAAAAGAACAAAGTTTCAGAAGAGTTAAAAATGGGTTCTCTCATATAACTAGGGCTCTGCCAAATTCATGGACCATTTTGTTCAATTTCATGGTATTTTAAAAATCATAAATTTTCATGATTTCATCTATTAAAATCTAAAATTTCACAGTGTTGTACTTGTACGGGTCCTGATCCAAAAAAGTTACTTGTAATGCTGACTTCAGGGCTGGGCAGCTGAAGGGCAGCATCTCCTGGCTAGCAGCACAGCTTTGAAGACAGAGCCACTGCCACCAGCAGCACAGAAGTAAAGATGGCACAAGATGGTATTGTCACCCTTACATTTGCACAACTGCCTGCAAAGCTGGAGCCTCAGTCTACAAGTGCTGCTCTCTGGCTGCCCAGCTCTGAAAGCAGCAATGCAGAAAGGTGGTACGGTATGATATTGCCACCCTTATTTCTGCACTATTGCTGGCAGAACACTGCCTTCAGAGCTAGGAACCTAGCCAACAGCTGCCATTCTGCAGCCACCTAGCTCTGAAGGCAGTACAGATGTTAGGGAGGGAATTCTGTGCTCTCATCCCCTCCCCCCCAAAAAAATAACCTTGCAGCCCCTTTGCAACTCCCTTTTGGGTCAGCTCCCCCAAGTTGAGAAATGCTGGTCTACCCCGTGAAACCTGTTTAACATAACGTAAAAGCAAGCAAGACCAGATTTCACAGTTTGCAACACATTTTTCATGGCTATGAATTTTGTAGAGTCCTATTTATAATTTTTGAAAGGTGGATACTCTCAGCCATAAAACTAAGGAAGTTGGCAGTATGACTCAGGAATAGATAAATTATTGAAGATCATTTAATTTTAATTGGCTAGAATTCAAGTTGATGTTGTCCCTTTTAGTTCAAACTGAAATGACTACTTAAATCATAATAAAACCGATTTCCATAACCAAAGTCCTGATAATCCTGCAAGGTGATCTACACAAGCAGATTTGTGAACTCATTTTAAGCTCCATTAACATCAACTGTGTTCTGCATGACTGCCAGGGCCTGGTCATTAGTAAGGATGTTAACTAGCGATTAATATACTACTTGAGTAGTCAATGGAATTTCCATCGACTAGTTGATAGGCACTTCTGCATTCCACCTTTGAAATGTACAAGAGCCCCAGTGGGGACTCTTGTGCATTTCAAAGTTGGAACGCCATGTGGAGCCCAGGGCTAGCAGGAAGCCTGCCGCTTTGAAATGCCCTAGCTGACCCTGGGCTCCATGCGACATTTCAAAGCGGCAACGCCCCACTGAGTCTGGGATCAGCTGGGGACTCCCCAGCTGACCCTAGGCTCCTCGAAGCACTGCTGCTTTGAAACGTTACTGCAGTGTTTCAAAGTGACAACACTGCATAGACCCGGACTGTGCAGTGCTGCTGCTTTGAAGTACCCCTCTCTTCCCCGCTCTTGCTGCCTCTATCTGATAGAGGCAGCAAGAGTGGGGGAAGTGACTAGTCCTTAACATCCCTAGTCATTAGTTCACATTGGTTCAGGATCAGGGCTTAAATTTCTACTACTCTGATCCTTAAGGGTGCGTCTACATAGCACCGAAAACTCAAAATAAGATATGCAATTTGCACTATGCAAATTGTGTATCTTATCTCAACTCTATTTAGAAATAGCTTATCTTGAAATTTGGCGTATCTCCAAAGTGCCATATTTCGAAATAACGCACTATTTTGAGCCGTCCCTTATCCCTTTTGCAACAAGATTTGCCAGAATGGTGAAATAGCACACCCATTATTTCGAAAAATATTTCAAAATAACGGGTGCCTTGTGTAGACGCAGGGTAGCTATTTCGGGATACCTGTGCATTGTAGACATACCCTAACTAAATAGTGGCATTAGCTGAAATTGTAGTTATCTATTTTTAAAGGTATAAAAGCTAATTTTAACCAGAATGGATAAAAATAGATTTGTTGGGGGGAAAACATACAGAAAAAGAATCAGATTTTTATACAAATGGGATTTATTAATTTTGTAATTTCAATTATAATTTTAAATAAATTTGTGTAAAATAAAATCTGAATTCAACACAATAAGTTAAGACCTAAACTTACTATATTCTCTTAAGAGTAACTTTTTATTTGCTAGGCACAGCTCAAATTAAATTTAAGAGACTTAAATCACATTCCAGATAAATCAAGGCACAAATTACTGTCTATCCTGTATCTATAGATCTGAAACTTTGCCCCCTTTCTCTCAGGCAAGAGTCCTGCATCTAGGACACAGAAAAGTGCAAAGAAGTTGCAGAGTATGTGCACCTTTTATGTAGTTATGTTTCCTCAAAAAATAAAGAAGGAAATTTTGGTTTTGGACATGACCTTTAACACTGTGGATATAATATACTTACAACAACAGACTTTCTTTGAAAATTTATGTTGTTGATGCAGACTACCTGTTGCGTTGTGCTGGAAAAAACAAAAACATTTAAAATAAGGTACAGACAAGTAACATACTAATGTCATTTCTCATGTCTCATTCACATAGTTAAAAAAATCTTAGATGAACAATCTTTGTCATATGTGTTTCTATACACATATAGATATTGAATACATATTATACTCTATGTAAATATGTATAAATTAATATATAGGGAGAATGCATGACTGATGTGGCATGAAGATCTTATCTGTATGAATGGCATACAGTGAATTAAATAGGAAGGGAATTGTACAGTATGTCCCATTGCAGCACTAAAATCATTAAAGTAACTCTATATACCATTATATAGCATGTACTCATACATGCTACAGGAAAAAATATAATTTGAACTGTAGAGATGTCAACATGTAGTCAACAACACGATTAACCGATAAGCCTGGGTTTATCTGTTAATCCTATCAACTACATGTACTCCCCCGCCCCTTAATGCCTCTGTATGAGATAGACAGGTAGCAGCGTGGAAAGAGACGGGGGCAGACAGGAACCGATACACATGAAAAACCAGCTTTCAAGCCAGCTCCCCATGTGTATCACCCCAAGTCACTGCTTCTCTTTCAACGCAGTAGCACACGAGTGTGGGGAGGGTCAGCAGGAGCCAATACACATGCCAGCTCTGCAGAGCCACCTGCCCCACCCTTGCTGCCTCAGAGGCAGCCAGGGCAGGCAGGACAGGGAGCTCAGGAGAGCCAGCTTAAACAGAGGTAGCAGCGTGGGATAGCATGGGTGTGTGGCTGCTGGCCCCGCCTCTAGGGATTATCAAATAATCATGTAACCACTAACCTCTGATGCAGTTACACAATTATTAAATTAATCTCTAACATCCTTGTTGAACTGTTTTGAATAGCTTTAAAATATTGCACAGGAATTATTTTTTAATCTTTTTGTCTATGACCCCAAATACAATAGTACAGGGTTTGTAGGAAGCTATGAAAGCTCTAGCAATTATCTAGACAGCTTTTCAATACATGAAATGTCAATTATAAAAGTATAATATGACCAACTATATAAAACTAATGGAATTTTATCCCTGCCAAACTGCAAGAGAATAGGTATGCTATGGACATCAAAAAGGTGTAATTACTGGACAAAGACGGGGAGGGGAGATCGGACAGAAAGTATAAGGAGTAAACATATCTCTGACCAGTTGACTCTCTCATCATATATATAATTCTCTACATGAACAGGAAGACACCGGATGTTTTATGGGAAACTGCACTTGCTTCAAGAATTAGAAAGTCCTGAGAAATCATATGGCATTCCACAACAAATTCTGTGCAGCCAAACTATGCATCTCTGTAAAGATCATGCAGGATTGAGGCCTGAAATAATTTTTGCCACTTTTTCCTATGGTTTAAGTACAGAGCACCTACACTCATAGAACAAGTAACAGAATTCTATTCTCATCCATGCATAATAAACAATATTGTTAACTACCTTCTAGCTGAAAAATCTTTATACATGAGTTGGAAAGCATATAGCTTTCCTTCCAGATATCAAACTGAATTTGAAGGAAAAAAATTACATGAAAATTGTGTATATGAGGGAAGTGAGAGTCATGGTTAAACAGTTACACAAGTCCCTCCCTTCCCCCGTGTCAAAGGCAGCAGCACCATAACAGGTGCCTCTCCCACCTCACATGGAGAAAAAAAAAACCCAAACACTTTTTTACATATCTAGTGCATATTTGATATAGTACATCATTAAAGAGTAAAATTATTTTACTAGGTTATTTTTCAGTGTATAACTGCATGTTCAGCAATAATAGTAAAGCATCCCTAGGTTATCCTGTACAGTTTCACTTGACTTAAACTCCAACCTTAATGATCAACTTTTGGTCAGCTTATACAATAAAGCTTTCATATTATAGAATAAAGAGAAGGAACACTAATCTTAAGCACATAAAAGAGATACAAAAAATACTTATAATTTATAAGGTCTCGGGCTCTCAAATCCCTTGTCTCCTTTCTTCCTATTCATCCTGCACAGCAGCACTGAATTGTTGAGAGTCAAATATGCATCAACATCATCCTCATTAGCAGTCTTTGAATAGGTGATTTGATTTTTCCCCTTGTCAAGTTCCCTTTCATTACTGTTCTCCCAGCAGTGGATCTAAGACTCCCAAGATTCAGCCATGACCAGATCAGAGAAGCAGCCCAGTTATTAAGTCAACAATATACAGTCTTATATATACAGGTATGAGTGTGACACACAGTTCCCTTCCCCTGCCTCTCTCCCTCTGGAAAGTGCACAACCGGAACTGTTAAGTGCAGAGGAGAAATTGGTGTTGTGGGCCTGCTGCTCAACAGGTAATTGACGCTGCTGCTGGGGGAGGTCTGGGAACTATTGATGGTGAGTTCATGCTCCTGGATGGGCAGTGCTGGCTCAGCAGGGGCTGTTGCTAATAGGTAGGTGGGAGGGGGGTGCTGAGGCGTTTTATTTTTAGGCGGGAGCGAGGCTGCCGCTTCAAAGGTCTGAGGAAGGGTGTTGTGGGCCTGCTGCTCAACAGGTAATTGACGCTGCTGCTGGGGGAGGTCTGGGAACTATTGATGGTGAGTTCATGCTCCTGGATGGGCAGTGCTGGCTCAGCAGGGGCTGTTGCTAATAGGTAGGTGGGAGGGGGGTGCTGAGGCGTTTTATTTTTAGGCGGGAGCGAGGCTGCCGCTTCAAAGGTCTGAGGAAGGAAAAGCGGGGAGGGGATGGGCACGGCGGGGGGGCTGGGGGGT